TATATATATATATAAGCACTAATGATGGGTACTATTTTTTAAAATTATTACAAAGTCCTCATAAAAAGTGAGATTTAAAAATTAATCCATACTTAGTAATATTATTATATGTTTATTTAATTATGTTCTAAACACTAAAATGTAATTTACCAAACTTTTTAAAAATTAAATTAATTGAAAACAACAATAGTCAACAAAATGGGTAAATATTATTAAAATAGTTTCAAGATGCACAACCTTCAACAAAATACACCAAAAATAACTATAACAAACAACTCCATCTATATAGTCTCCAAACTGGATCATGGTCATCATGTGGTATAAGAATACATCGTCTCTCTCTATGTCTAGTACCATGGTTTGAATTCCTCCTCACACCTTGATCATCATTTGCATCATCTTTGCAAATGTTGAGTTTAAGTCATAACCTAGATCAAGATGATGAGAACAGTTACCACCACCAAAAATCCTACTCCTAAGATCATGAATGATGTTTCCTGTCAAGGATATTCAAATCGATAATGCAAATACGATACAAATGAGGTCATCATGTGCCAACATATGCAATAGGATTGCAGGAGTAAATGACATTTCCAAGAATAGGTGTTTTGTATACATTTCAAAAATATACACAAAACGTTTAAGAGGTAGACTTTTTTGTGCTTTTGTGTTTTGCACACAAAGTTTTGGGGGTTAATTTTCTTGTGCCAACATGTCCAAAATAATTTATTTTGATAAATTATTTTTAAAAATATATATTTTTAGAATTTTTATTTATTTTCTATTTACTTTGGCCAAAAAGCCAAATATTTCATTTCTCGTTAAAATAAACCAATAAGTCACTTATATACCCACAAATATTTTAAGAGTACAATATTTCTTTAGTAAAAAAATATTTCTTTAGTCGTTGAAATTAGTATCACCAATGAATTTGATTTACTCCCTCCGTTTTTTATTTATAGCTGTTTTGACATTTTTTTTTGTTCTTAAAAAAAATGGAGGGAGTATTTAGATCCTTAACTTTCGTATGTTTAGGACAATCATATTAATTGACAATCATCTAATTTAGAGATTAAACTAATGAACATTATTAAATTCAAGAACAAAACCACAAATTTCTAGAAACAAGAATTATGAAAATGATTGATATTTTAGTTTTTCAAAGTATTTATTACTTATTTTTCTATTATACCATTTAGGTAATTGGAGAAAAAATATGTACATTGAAAATGAATAAATACATTATTTAGTAAATACAGATTAATTATTAAGGATAAAAATGAAAAAGAAAATTAATAAATCATTAATTTTAAAGAAGTAACAATGAAAAAATAACAAACAAAAAAAAATAGTATCCAAACGAATATGAAAAATAACAGAAGAAGTAATTATTATTAGTTCTCAAAGTTAATAATCTCTAACGTTTAGAATTGAAATAATCCATGGTGCCAAAGAAAATAAAAACGTTTAGAATTGTTTTCATTTTAAATAAATGAAAGCGTTGAGTTGAAAATAGTAACGTGATTTATCATTTTCAAAAAGAAAATAGAACGGTTCAACCATAGTCATTGCCGTTTCATGTGGATAGGCTTGACCGTTGCAAAGGTGAGGACCATTTGGTTTGATTTCACACTTCGGAGCCAAACTATGTATGGAAGAACAAGGTTTGGTTTGGATTCTCAATAAATATAGGAAATTGATTAGTTGGGGAGAGTGAGTGATTGTTAACTTTTTGAAATATTGAGATTTGAGACCCACTTCTTCCCAAAGATGGTTGCTAGAACCCCACCAAAGCAAAACAAAATGCTACATGCTCTCAATCCTGTTCTAATCAGAGAAACACTCAACAAGGTAATTAACCCACCACATTACTCATTTTCTCTTATTCATAGAATTGGATCCATGAAAGTGAATCGTTGTGGGTGTTTGAATTGAAGGTCAATCAATGCATGGTTCGACTACAAGAACTTCAGTACACGGTGTACGGCGGAACGAAGGTGGTGTCAGGGGTAAGTCTCAGTCCTCGCAGCACCAAAGGTTATCTCAGAACCAGTCTAAGGTGCAAGCAAGAATCAGCCAGGTATATAAATTTTGGTTTTGGTTATTCTATTTGAATTTTAAGATAAGCATATTTAGTTTATGAAAAAGAAAATTAACTAGAATGCATTAGAAACATATGTATACATACTCTCATTCGATTTTAAGTTATTATGCAGAGTAATTATTCTAAAATTCATAGCTAGAATTTTTTTTTTTTTCATTAGATAATGGTATAAAAACCTTTAAACTGCCGCTGTATGAAAATAAAACTCACAAAATTGTTACTACTTTTCTTTAGTATGATTACTAGTTTACTATTCATAACCATATTTTGAAGGATCAAGCATGATGCACCAAGAAGTTCTCCACCGGGGAAGTTTCCTAGACCGACTAATTCAGGTCTTGTTCTCTATAAGAACTTTTCTATATTTTGTTCTAATAAAAGAACTTAATTTGAGTTCTTAATTAACTTGTCTCATAATATATTCATTCTTGAAGATTCTAACTATTCTTATATTTAAAAACATAGTTAAGAACTCTCATCAGATGGTCTTATTAGTCAAAACCAGAGTCAATTTACTTATCGTGAGCAACATTATAGTTAATATTAATAATGTGCAATAATTCATGTCTCTAGCAAGAAACAAAAGAGCCATTCATCTAATTTACCCCTTGACTTGTAAATGCAATCCCTATGCAGGTGAGGAATGGAGGCAAATGTCATTGCCCGCAATGCTTGTTAGCGAAACTGTTGGAGAAATTTTGCAGGCAAGTCAATTTGCCCGAGACATAGTTTCAACAGTTACTAAGAAAACAACAACCAAGGGCCCAAAATCTCCGGTGTCCCATCGGTCAAACCAGAAAGTTGACCCGGATAACACACCATTCAATGCTAGAAGAAGGAAAGAGAAACAAATTAAACCACGATCTGATACCCCACCACTTCAACGTGCTCGTTTAAGTATCAACTTTAAGGTTTCTCCTCAAAAAGCAAGAGACTCTGACAAAGAGAATGATAACATGTTTTTGCCAAATAGGGTATCTCCCAAAAATAGACTATGTGTTAATAGCCGCAACCCTTTATTCTTTTCTACATATTCTTCAAGGCAACAACACTTTTGCAAGACAAAATCTCCTGTCATATCAAGAAACATGGGAACACAAAACAAGTTTTTGATCAAGTCCCCACCTTCAGAAGCTTCCAAATTTCAAGTCAAAGTCAAAAAGCCACCAATTGTGTCCATTTCTTCTTCACCTACAAGTTTGAGTCTGAGCAAGAAGAGTTCTCCAAAGAGATGGGTTCGACCTTTCTCTCCTTCTAGAGTGACAACAAGATTAGCTTCACCATTAAAGAGCAAGAAAAGTGATGGGATAGTAAGTTTGAAGAAGAGTTCTCCAAAGATGTCAGTGGCATCAAAAATTTGTCGATCTTTTTCTCCTTCGAGATTGGCAACCAGATTTGTTTCACCATTGAAGAGCAAGAAAAGTGCACAGCAAAGTGGAGGGAAACACCGCCCAGCATCAACAGTGCAAATCACTGCTCCAAGAATTTAAGAACATGTATGTTCCAGTTCCGGCAATTCTTTTAAACCATTGATGATGGAAATTTTATCTCAAATGTCTAAAGTTTTTTTTTCTAAATTTTTTAGTAAAAAAATAAGCTTCTTACTTCAAAAATAATGTTAGCTCCATTGCTCCCAAAGACAGTGTATATCTTTATTTTGTGTGTTGTTTTTTACCCGAATGATATAACTCATTTTACATATTTAATCAGCATTTTAACTCACTGTATAATTTATATTTTGGAAATTAGTTTCAGAAAGTGTATTATACACTCCAAAAAGATCCAAAATGTAAAAACAGTAGAGGTACAGAGAGAGAGAAAAAGGAATGCAAATAAAAGTAAAAAATACCCACTATGCATTCACTTTCTCTTTCCATCTTATGTTAACATCATTTTCTTCTTATCTATATATGCTCTTTTTTTTTGGACTGAATTATTCTTTTAATTTTTTAGTTTTGAACTTTATTTTTTCAATTTTATAAAATTCATAATTTTGATTCAACTATAAATGTATTGAAAATTAAAATTGAAACATTAATTATGATTAATTGATCATTAAAATTACAACGATGATTATTTGTCCAATTTTTCTTCTTGCTCTATATTTTTTTTATAAGCAACTGCGGCTTTGGAGCACATGAATTCTTATAAAGTTTGTTCGGCTATTAAAAATATTTTTTAATGTTAAAATTAGTTGGTGGAAGTAGAAATATAAAATGGTGTAACTTTTTGAAAAGGCAATGGTGAAACTCATTAAAAATAAAGTTAAAACCTAAGTTAAATTTTTAGCTTTAGAGTAAAAATTAGTATTTTTAAGTGTTATGTAAAATGGCTTTGGAAGCTACGTATTCCTGAAAAGATCCGTTTGCTTTTGTGGCTCGTACTTCACATGACTCTTCCAAATAACTACACTTTTAAAAGAAATCTGTCAAACTCAGTAGCTTGTCCTTCTTGTTCGCATGATTTGGAGGATTTCTTGCATTGTCTGAGAGAGTGCCTCATGCTAAGGAGGCCTAGACACGTTTGGGAACACTAGCTCACCCTAGATTTCTTTCTTCGGATGCGGTTTCTTGGATTCGAGTTCAACTGGTAGTTAATAACAGGTAACAGGTTCCTATTTGTTGCAGCTGTTGGTGGATCCGGAGATGGGGCAGCAATCGCATTTTTTATGCTGAGATATGTGATATTCGTTATATCTTAAGAATGGTTCATAATTTATATGATGATATTATTTTTTTCTCTCTAAAGAATGAGTATCAGGATGTGACCTCTCCTCTTTGTATTCCTTCTGTTGAGGGATAGTTGATTTTTCTTATATTTCCGGTGAATAAAAAATACTACGTAATAATAAAAGACCCGCTAGAAAAATTTAGATCCTAAATTAAATTTAGTTCTTGTATCAGTTATACACTTATACTCTTACATGTTCCAAGTGACCTCACCAAACCCTCCAAATCGTATCATATTCCAATTATTCAGTATTATTATATTTTGTTGTTTAAATGTTAAAAGATAAAAATAAAAAATAGATTAACTCTGAAGCTAAAAGCCTAAAACTGCTGTTGGGTCCTTCAACCACCTCCATCCTCTCGATTTACAAAAGACATCCAAATTTTTTTTTTATTTAAAATAGTTCTTTATTTGTGCCCTTCACAAAAAATATGATTTTTAATCGAATCTTTCTATATATAAAAAGATGAAACTAACAATTCTAAATTGTAGGTCTAATTCTATCATATTGTGCTGAGTTTCCTTTCATCAAGAGATTAATTCCGTACTGTAGGAATAACAAATCATAGCACAAATTACCATTGAAAAACAATTAGCAGGGGGAAAGGATGAGACAAGTGGCAACAGATTCAGAGGCAATCTTGCGCCACATAGGTCTGATTATTTCTATTTTCATAATACAAAAAGGGCATAAACTTGACGGCCAAGCATCTCTCAACCCTAAAGGAAAGTAAAAATTTCCAAGCAATAGAAAGCTTTACATGGCACAACACGGACAAGTAAGCATGTGAGATTTTTCATATGGCAAAACGGCCAAATTGGATATATAACATTAAAGACCCCAACAAAACTGCAGTAACACGTGTTTGCAATGCTATTTTATTTGCTGGGAGAAGCAAATCTTGTCCGCTCCCTCTGCCGATGTAAAGCTCGATCCTTTGGTGAAGATGTCTTTCCGCCCATGCCAGCTTGCCGCATCATTTCTGCAAAGTTAGCCACTTGTAAATAAATACATATTATGTTTTCCCTTTATCTGAAGTATTTTTCAATTATGTACGACAGACCCACAACTTGGAGTCTCTTGCTTCCATAAAATAGTCAAATTTAGTACTACTACATATAAGAAAATAACAAGTTTAAAAAACTAGAGTAAAAGTTGTAAAACAATAATTTAATCCTTGAAAGTTAAAATTAGCATCAGCAGTCAATTTCATTCCTCCTATGAAGTTGATTTTGTTTATGAATATAACAATAACTATCAACTTGAAATTGACACTACCAGTCAAGTTGGTTCTTTCCTTATATATCAAATTATAGTCAATTTAGTCCCTAAATTTGACAATTGTCCTCAATTTGGTACTCGAATTTAACAACCATCAATTGATTTGGTACCTGATATTAGGAATTAAATTGACTGATAAACACTAAACAAATTAACTGATGCACGCCGAAGTTAAGGACCAAAATATATGAATTAGGAATTACAGGAACTTATTAGATATTTTACTAAAAAGAGATTTCTAACCTCGCTTTCTCTCAAGCTCTTGGTCAAGCTCTTCTTTCCACTTCCTCTGTCTTTCGGAAAAGTTTAGACTGCAAGATACAGTGCTTAAATTACTTTATATTTCTGAAAATAATAAATTGATGCTGAGAAAAGCAATGCAAGGCAAAAACAAACCAACCTTGGGCTACTGGGCTGCTGCTGAGAGTCAACTACCATTCCTTTCCATTCATTAAGGGGAGATGCTGGAATATCCTGTGAACTATGGTTATTTACATGGCCAATAGTTGATGAGGACCGGCCATTACTTCCAGGACTTCCAGCATTATCAACGGCTTTAGATGGAGTGGTAATTGGCACCCGACTAGGTGACCTGCTTTTAGGAGGTAATTTCAAGTATTTTCGAGCGGCAGTATCATCACTTATGCTATCAATCACATTGGGAGAACAAGATGTATTCAAACTGTTATAGAACTCTTCATACAAAGGCGTCTGCAGCTTTTTCAGTTCAAGAGCCTGTCATAAATGCATACAGTCAACATTATGACAGCAATTAGAAGACAAAAAGATTGATGAAGTGACAGCAGAACGACTAACTTTATTCCAACTAAAAGCAATACCTTCTCATCCAAAAAGGCTTTAATTTTTGACTCTGTGAGTTCATCATCTTCCTCTGACAGAGATGGCACGCCTGGAAAGGAAAAATCATTCTGACCCTTATCAGCCCCCGACTGATCAGGTGGCATGTAACTTTCATCGGTGCTAAAATTAATCGCTCTATTTTCCAGTTCTGGACTTGCATCAAATTTACACCCCCAATCATCAGAGGGATCAGACATTGGGTTGAAACTCTACAATAAAAAAAAGTTTCTAAGAAGTCATTAATTTCGTATTAAATAAAACAATATGGACCTGGATGCAATCACCTCAATATCATTTGACATCATTGATTTGTATTTGACATCACTCTGCGGGAACTCTTCTTTGTCATCATCAATCACACACATATCATCATCACTGCTCATTCCCCACAACTGTTTATTTCCCGAGTCCAGAGGATTTACTGTTGAGCTGCAAAGGCTACATAAATCACAAACAGTTTGTTAAACATAATCATATTACCATTCATTAGAAAGTCCTAGAAATAAATTTTCAACACCTACAAGGATTCAACATTTGGGGCACACGATGGAGAAGAAGCTTCGAAATTTTCCTGTCAGAAGTGAAAGTGATTTTCCTTAAAAATTGATTTATAAAAGATACTATTGCAGCATTTTAAATAACACTTCAATTTTACATACCGTGACATTAGATGACAGAGGAAGAGTATTCATATGTTCACCAGTAACAAAGGGATGCTGCAGCAAGTTACAAACTTCAAAGTTAATCTTAGGGAGACTGAAATATTTCACACAAAACAACCACAACCACAACAACAATAATAATAAAATTGGACAATACTACCAATCAATAGCTAACAGTACTAAAAAGGCCACTCAAAATGTTCTAAATTTCATATGACCAGTCTAAAGAGAAATGTTCATAGAATCACCTGCAGCAGTTCCGATGCCGATGACCTCAAAATTGGTTCCCTACAAAAGGATTATATATTTATTCATGATATTTGTAATCTGGTAACGAACATTTAAAAAGAGAGCATAGTAGGGCATACATTTTGTGTCTCTCTCTCTTACAAACACATGCACACTAATTAAATGTTACAACTCTTTTTTTTTTTGACAATATATAAATGTCCCAACTTCCGGGAAATCTTTCTCCCCCAATCCATTCCCACCCCCACTCCACCCACCAAAAAAAATCGATAATGTTTAGCACGATCAATCTATATTTTAAGACATAAGTATTAATTGACACGATGAAATACACAAAAACAAGGAATTTGTGATATGAGGAAAGCAGGAGAAAATTAAAGTTAACATACTTCTGTAAACATTTTAGCAGAAAATCTTTTGCTGCAACTGAGAGATGATCAGGAATTGGCGGATGGGACTTAGTTGTTCCTATATGAAAGAGAGCAGCAACCTGAAAATTCATTCGTTTAGTAGATGTTTGGAGAGCACCTCAAAACAGAATTTAAGGAGTCAGAATATGAGACACCTCTTGTTGGTATTGCTGACTCCAGGGAGGCTTTCCAGTGGCCATCTCAATCACAGTACAACCCACACTCCATATGTCAGCAGAGCTAAAAAAGCATCAATATATGAAAACATCTTTATTTAGCTTCAAACGAAACACCTTTACAAAAAGATATTATACACATGCACAATAACTAAAGCAATGACCCCAAGCACAGTATATAAGAATCTACTAATAGAATTTCAAACGTATGAGCTTGAATTTGTACATGTCATTCATCTAAAACATATAACTATCTCAATCAGACAAGGCAATTAAGATGAAAGCAATAATAACTCTGCTTCAAATTTCTTAGGACCGGAAACTTTAAAAGCAAAG